ATTTTTAATTTTTTTAATACATAGTTAGCTCAATAAATTGTTTTTCAATCAACATTAAAAGTTATTTAGGAGTGAACTCATGGATTTTAAAAGTTCAGAAACTGAACAAAGCAACATATTTCAAAATTTAATAGTTATGCTTGTCTAATCAATACACTGCCAACAAAGATTGGGAAAGTGGTTACCTAATTAAGGTTTGGCAGATTAGAGTTGTTTGTTGTCACCTCGATGAGGACTAAAGAAAGCAAGGATGCTCCCTGTGATAGCTAGACTTTTGATCCTCCTTAGAGAGTGAAATGGAAGAGATGAGGTTCCTTTTTTTATATGCATTGGTACATCTGCATGAAAAATTTTGTTCAGCATCTTCCTGTGGATCTTGTTTGTAACCTTGGTCTTGTACCTCACTTTTTTTCCTGCTCACCAAATTAAAACTGGTTCCTTTTGACAAGTGTTTGCCATCAGTGTTTAGAATCTAAATCTTTGTGCAAAGAATCGTTACCTAAGTGTTTTATATCTATCTGAAGTTTCTGGATTTCATGTGAGATGGGAAGATTAGCACTTTTAGTTGATAAGTTAACTTTATTTCCTAAAAATGGATTAAATTCTCAAGTTTCTTATTTTTTGCAACACAAATGTTTGCACTCATGAGAAAATTCAGCTGACATCGTTTTGAGAAATGAAAGAAATAAATGGCGAAAACAGCTGTAAGGAAATTAACATTTGGCTAGTTTGCTTGGAGTACAGTGAATTTCTCAGTCAGAGCAGAGTTTCTATCTGCTACAACCATTAATTTTGCTGATTTACTGTAAACATTTGAAATGGCATAAGAGAGCCTAATTTCCTGCCTTTCTTTTAGAAATAGTACTGCCTGATTCCCACATGCAGCCCACTTCAGCTTGGAGTGCTTATTGGTACTATTTATTGTTCTTGTTAAGCCTGGGCAGCGTTCTTTGAGCTCCCACAGTTCACTGCAGAGAGGGACCTGCAGGTCTGTGAGGCATCCCTGAACGCTGAAAGTTCAAAGCTGCTTGGGTTGAGAAACCATCAAGATCCCATTCCTCAAAATCTCAAAATTGGGAAGTTTGTGTGTTCTGGTTTGTGACTCGTGAGGTGCAGGTTATAATCTATAGGAAGGAAGTGCAAAATTGCCTTGATTTTGTCCAAGAATGAGAGTTTCACAGAACTTCAGGAGCCACTTTAAACCTCTTGCAGTGACAAGATCAGATAGCAAGCACAGTGAAACACTAACTGCAGTCAGTGACGCAGAGAGCTGTGCTGTTCAGCTGCAGTCTGTGCATCCATCATCCCCGGGGCAGCTGCTGTGAGTCAGCAGCTGACCCAGAGCCCAGGACTGATCCTCCCTCTGATGGCTCAGGAGAGGGGGGGGATAACATGTCTGTGTAGGACAGATCAACACAGAGGGGTTATGGATGAGTAATTCCCATGCCCAGGGATGGGGGCAAGCGCCTTCCAACAAGGCCAAAAGTAAAATGCTCCTAGACATCAGGAGTAGAGCCAGATCTGGCCTGCTGACAGAACAGCAGCCCCTGCTCTCTGTAAAAAGCAAACCTGGAGACACTTCTGTACTTGGTCTTTTGGGGAGTGAGTGAGGCAAACTGGCTGGGCTTGGACAGACAAGATGAGGTGGTCTGATCAGCAGGTTGTGCTGTTGTATCTTTGGAAGCTGTGCCTCAGAACTCCTCCCAGCTTGCTACAAATTCCTTATGGTACTGTGCACATAATTTGTCAACAAATTAAAAAGATCTTCTAAGACCTTTTAAACGATCTCTCTTTTTGAACTCTTAGGCTCATATTCATCATGTCCTGCAATTAATGCAGTTTATGTCATTTAGGATATTACATCTGATCTGATGAGACTTCCATTCTAATCATCACCTTTTGTCATTATTAGATCATTTAAATCTACATGCTGATCTGATTAAGTAATTCTAGTCTCAACCTCTACCTCTGATTTAAGGTGGCAATATCTAAAAATATTTAACCTTACATTAATGAAACTTTGAGTAGCCAGCAGCATGTTTGTAAGTGTCCAGGAGCCAGTGCTAGGGGGCTTGATTATTACTGCTGAGGAGGTGAGAATTTTTCTTATACTAGCTTGTTTGAAGAGTTCAGGAGAACATGTTCTTCAATCATTCTAGACAACTAAACTTCATTTTCTGTTTTATAACCCAAATAAAAATGTCATTTTACTTGTTTCCTGTTAACTTTCTGAAACATCTTGTGCCTCTGCCTTGGCCAAACAAACAGTCCGCACACTGTGGTTCTGTTGGACAGCTAGAAACTGTTTGCTCATTTTGTTGACCCAGTTCCAGCCAAGCAGTAAATGTGGAATACAAAAAATTCCAATTGTCTTGGTCAAAGTCAGAAGAATCAGGTTGTCTGTAATATTTAGTTGCCAGTGCCCAGAAAAATGGGTGTGAATACTTTCCAAAAGAAAAGCTTTAAAGAGCATATGTGATTTTAAGGATTACCATGAGCAAGAGGATTATTATTTGAGAGACAAAGGGAATAAGAGATTACAGCACATTAAAAGAGAGTTGTTTTACATCAAAGGTGTAGGATGGTTACACACTTTGTATAATACCAGGCATTGGCCAGAGAGCCAGACAGTTGGGATTTAGATTGAGCTCTCAAGCTCTTTCAGCTTTTCTGATTTCAGCTCTATATAGCAGTGTCTGAAATATGCAAAGATGTTTGCATTCAGAAGAGAATTAAGCAACAATAATCAGCTTACAGATTTCTGTTCTGTGATATGCTGAAGAAAAGAGAAAAAATCCAGACATTTAGGTCAAATATAAAAAGCCTCTGGGCTGTTTGGAGTGAGCATCCAGTTGAATTATTCCAGGAAGAAATTTCTATTAAACATCCCATCAAAATAGCCTCTTCTCTTTGGCAAAATGCATAACTCAAACATTTAGTGTCCTTCATCTTGTCTTGAGATTTGTTTCCATCATCTGATCGCAGCTGAAATCTGAAAAAAAAAAAAAATTAGTGTGTACTTTAAAATTATTGTGCAATGTATATTTAAGCCTAAAAGTTTTGATTCTATCATAAATTTCAGATTAAGAAAATTTACAATCAGCATTATTATGGCAATAGATCGATATTGTCTAGCCCAAAGGGCAGGAGCTTAATTCTCTTGCATCTCATTTTTCTTCCTCTGCCTGCAGATGTAGCTTGTAACTTACTTGTAGGTCAGATTTGAGCCTCAAAGCTGTGACAGCATTCCTGTAAATATGTTTGCAGCTGAATGACAGTTCCACATTGTCTGTCCCAAGAGCTGAGCACAGCAATTCATTAACTCTGAACTATCATCCAGCCATTTGACATATCCCTATGTGTATCCCAACCCTCTCGGGACTGGATTGGTAAGTTCCAGCATTCATCAAATAAAGCATCCAGACTCGTTGCAAGAAGCCTACTGTTCATGTAATGAAATAAATGCAGGGAGCATGTAAATGAGTCTTTGGCAGCATGAGCCCTCGGCAGCAGCGGAGTTCGGCATTCCACTTTCCCGATGTTCCCGGACCTGGGTGCCCCTGGGGCCGGCCCGCTGGAAGCAATGGCCTTTCTGCCCAAAGTGTAAAATGCCATCGGTTAAGGAAAGAATGTTCATAGCTCATACATCATCTGGCAGGCTTTCCTTCCTCTGGCAGGGCTTCCCAGGGCTGCGGCGGAGGCAGTAACAATAGCAGGCAAACACCAGAGGGAGTTATTGTTCCACTGGAGAAAGGAGTGCCTCAGGACACAGGGTTTTAAATAGCGTGAGGCTTCTACCCAACGAAAAATGTTCAGGTGACACGACTCCACAAAATGTAAATGGTGAAACCATTAATTCTAATCGTGTTTGAAAGAGATGGTGTTCTTCACCAGTTTTCAGTGCTGATTTCAATGTACTGCTTCTTTGTACCAAGCAGTTGCTGCATAACGCCCACTCACCCTCCAGTAAATTTTTTACATCTCTTCTCAATACTAGAGCCTTACAGTTCAGTGTCAAGAGCCAGATGAGCAGGCAATGAGAAGTAACTTTTTTCACTTGTTTATTAAAGGAGTCTTTTCTCCTGGTCCATCCACACAGGCTGATACTCGGTCAGAGTGCCTGTGTCTTGACTGGTAAAGTCCATGTACCCTCAGAATCCTGGTTCCTCAGAGTCCTGCTTGTGGAAAATGGCCAGGCTGCAACCATCTCCCTAGCTGACCTAGACTTCCCTGGAAGCAAATCTGGATACACAGATAGGAAAGAAGCGAGTGGGTTATCTACATACTGGAAATGGGCTGCCCTTTCAGCAGCTATACCTGCATTTTATGCCTGCTGAAAGTCTGGCTGCCTTTTGCTCATGAAGTTTCAGCTGGCCACGACCAGGAAAAGTGCATCCCCTGGGCTCTCCATAGAGAGGCTCTTGCAACTGCTCAATTTGCAGTAACTGATTGAAAGAAAACACAATCAGCCCCAAGGTGAATCTGTGCCAGTATCTTTTAGAGGAGCATTTCAGTGAGCAAACTGACCCAATTCTGTTACACTTCACACAATGCTGGGGCAGGTGGAAAGCTTCTCCAATTCACTGCTGAACTTCCAAGACAAAGGACTAAAGTGGAGAGTCACTGTCTGCTTTTTCCGTGCATGTAATGAATGCTTCTGCTCTGACTGCTTTTAGTTTCTGTTGTTGAAACGGTGCTTAACTTTCCACAGCCATCACACTGACTGTCATCTGTGGAATATGAAGCAAAGATCAGCTCACCTGTCTTTTCAGCAGAAGACTTCAAAGCTCTATTTTCTATTCTCAAAAGGGTATTTTGTAAAAATCACCCTTTCATTGATGAATACCAAAGTAAATCCCAGCTGAGCCCAATGTTAAATTGTATAACCCTGGCTTTCACAATGCTGCCAAGGTGAAGGATTCTGCAACAAAACTATTTTTCCTAACAGTTCTATTGCAGGTGTGTAAGATCTAATGGAGATGAGCCTATTCTCTTCTTAGGTGTGTCAGCTTTACAGAGCTCACCAGCACAAAAAGAGGATCTTGGCATTCTTACACTGGCGAACCTAGAAGACGCTTCATACATCCGGGTGGATGACTTGCATTGTCAAGATCTTTTAAAAGATCTGGGCGTTATTAGAGGTGGGTGCTTAACTGTTGATTCATTAAAACAGAACCATACGTGAATTATCCAGGCAGTCAACCTTTTTCTTCTGGTGGGTAAAAAAGAACTCTGACAGAACTGGTATCACACTCTTGCCTCAACTACACCAATGTGAATGTAGAGGAGGAGAACTGTATTTAGGTATTTGATGATGTAGATAGGCAAAATTCTCAGAAACTTCTATGCAGACCAGATGTTCAAGTAGTTTTGATTTTACAAAGCTGTTTAAATATCAGTATCTCTGTGAAGTCAGGTATGATTCCTTGGTTGCAAAGTAATTAATTGCTCCTCATTATGAAAGTAAAAATCAATATAAATCAGTATAAATTTGATACTTCTTACAATATTAAATAAAAGTTCTTATAAAACTTTTTAATAAGACTTCAGATTAGGAAAATAAAACTCCCTGGTCAAAACTCTCATGGTCAGTGTAAAGTCAGAGGTTCTCTGCACACCTTAAGTTAGACTTTAGTGGTAGTGTGCTGTCTTCAGAAATGATATTGTCATACAGTATCCCTGGTCCTGTTTCAGTTTCTTTCTCCCTCCAACTCTGCTAATACAGCTGTTTTCAAGACCCATGCTGTGAATATGGACTTAAATTAAAAAAAAAAAAAAAAAAAAAAAAAAGAGAAAGGGTGGGGAACAGTAAAGACAACTGCCATCAGATCTTGTCCTTAATACATGCTCTGGAAGGAGCTGAAGTGATCCTTTGTGAACAGCCCATTCACTGGGGACATTTCCATTACAGACTTTCAAACACGTCCGTGTGTCATTTCTCTGTGACTTGCTCACAGCTCCTGAGCAGTGCAAGTGTTTCTTCTGCAGCAGCACATAGCACTGAAGTGATGGGAAATAACCTTTTTTCTACAGCAGCTTTTATGATGAACACTGATGTTTGGCCTGGAGAACATTGGCTTGCTGGGGAATGGATAGAAGCTGCACAGGAGCTTGTGGGTGTAGCAACTGTCCTGTGTTAACTACAGATAGCCAAAACAAAGTGTTTTATAGACCATGTTTATAAAGAGCATGTTGTCACCACCCAAAATATAAAATCATAGTGAATATCTCTTAAGACAAAAGTGCCACAGCAAACATTGGAACTGTCATATTTGTGTAAACCCAAGAGCACTATAAACAGTTAAAATCTGAAATGCCAAATGTAACTTATATTCAAAACTATTCACTGTGATATTACCTTACAGCTCAAAAGGCTCTGCCAGGCAGATTGCAGGGACAGCAGAGGAGGCATTTGTAATATGACAAGTCATTTCTCACTAAGGTATTTCAGGATCTGGGTCTGTGAAAAGAAATCTTCAATTGTGATAAAAAGGGGAAAAAAGATCAGCTTGGCCTTGGGAAAATATGGCTTGTGAAGCTCAGATAGCTCTCCTTTAATAACACATTTTTAGATACCTGTGCTTTTGAATGCCTACTTTAAAGAACACCCACCCTTTGGAGACCTTTCATGAGGACATATGATCTATGATAAAAATTTATTTCAGTCACGTCAGTGTGTGTGTCCATATGTCAGACTTCTCTTCCTCAACAGGGAAGAGAAGCACTGGACAGTAGTGCCAGTGGCAGCACAGAGACTGATTCCCAAGAGTAAGACTCTGAAAGACTCTTACAGCCATCTTTTATGTTTTCTTCATTTCTATCTGAAGTTGTCACATCAAGGTATTAAGACACTTCATTTGATGTTTGTGGTCTTCTGAAACTGAGGCCCTTCTATCTCATCTGAAATACAATGTCTACATTTCTGCTACAGCATACTTTCCTTATCTCAGCTGCGTCAAAACCCATTTACCAAGGTAAATCCAAATGATTTACATATTAAAAACTCATCGCTCCTTTGAATCCCCTGAACAGTTTATTCCTCTCATTTCAGTAAAGAATATTTCTTTAGCAAGTTTACTGGATGCCTTCAGAACTTAATGAAAATTTATCACTCTTAGCCTGTCATCAAAGTCATCGAAGTGTTTAATCAGTGTCTGCCAATGCTGAGCTGTTAGCATCCACTTGTCCCCTTTACTACAACACCTTAATTTGATTTATGCAGCTGAATTTGCATCAGGAAAGTTTCATAGGCCTCAGCCTGGGATTTGCATGAGGTTACAAACTCAAACCATGTTCAGGTTCATCAGGAGCAGTCCCAGCGCCAGTTCTGTTTTGCCTCTGCTGTGTCCAGTCTAATCAGTGTTTCTCACTGGAGCCTGGATCCATGAGGAGTTCTTTGGGAACCCAAGCTCTGTCTAGCTTCTTTTGCTAAATTGGAGAAGCAAAGGTTGAAGTGGTCCATCCTGAATCCTATCTTACTTCCTTTCCGGGATCCTTTGGGAGTAGATTTCTCACCCTAGTTCTGGTTTGGCAGAAAACACAAAATGTAAGCAGGACACACTTTTGTATATAAGATTAAGGGACCTCTTTATAATAATGTGATGGCACTGTGATGGCACTGTGATGGCAGTAACAATGTCCATTTCCATCATTCTGTTTTCCTTCATCTCTAAAATGGCACACAAAACACACCCACTCCAGAATGTCCTGTGATTCATGTGAAAGCCTTGGCCAAGCCTGTACTTGACAGCTCTTGTGCTTTGCTGAGGATTATTTTAGGGGGCAGTCAAGGAGAGAACAACTGAAGACTGAAGCTGTTTGTATACACACAGATGTGTACTCCTGGGCTAACATTTCCCTGCCTGACCTCAGGAAGACTAGATGAAACACAGCACTAGCTGCTGAGTCAGTGAGGCTCTTTGAACTGATAACTGTGGCATGTTCTGTGATGTGGTTTGCCTGGAAACATATTTGTTTCTTTTGAAAATACAAAATGACATCAGTTGTAGTGTGCATTGAAAAACCTAGGCTGAGATGGCAAGCTGTTTCAGTCCATAAATGATTGCAGATGTTTGGGTGAGGCTGCAAAACACAAGACTTTTCAAGCGTGTACATTTGGGGAAGGAAGCTAGGGACACATATAAACATGAACATAATTGTTATATATTGCAGCCTGTCAGCTCGTCCCATTTTGGAATGGCTATTATTAAAGATGTGCAAAAGTAAGTGGAAACTATGATAGCTGCAATGCATCTGGTTTTGTGAGTGTTTTCTATTTCTGACCCTATAGGCTTTCTTCCCTTTGTCTGATGCCAGTTACATACTAAACACATAGAACTATCAACAGGCTAAAAAAGAGGCCTAGGAGGTATACTGCTGGTTCTTATTATCACCAGATTGCAAAAGCATATAGCCTGAGCTGGCTTTCAAGCAAGCTAAGTTGCAGCTCCATGTCCCAGGAGCCTGCCTTGCAGAGCAGGATCTGGATGGTGCCAATTTAGAAAGCTCTCTAAGTTTGTGATGCCCTTTAAGAGAATGAGTCATTTGCCAGAGTCACAGGCCTGGGAACAGGATAGAAAGAAGAGCTACTAGATAAAGAACTGTTGGCATTAGGTCTTCCTCCTGATCTTTGAATTTGGGCTGTTTGGCCCTGAGTTCCAGAAGGAAGGTCCAAGTGGTTCTTGCTGACACAGACAGCATCAAGAAGGTGAGTGACAAGGGCTGTTGGAGGACATGGACATCTTCTTCCCAACCATAAGAAAAAACAAGTCATTGTGTGCCTTCGCCTTCAAAAAGCTAATGGCAGGCAAAATCTGTCATGACAAAATTATTTTTTGTGTCATCTCTTTGGGCCACATTGCAGCCTTTTAATAGCTTGCCATGTGATAATTCTAACAAATCCTTCATCTGACTTGTTCAGCCTTACCCTCCATGCAGCAGTGGGCAGAGTGAGGAGGGCCTTGCTGCAGTGTGTTTGCAGTTGTTCTGCAGCATTACCTCTAGCTATGTGTTGAGTTCCTGTAAACCCAGCTACTGACATCTTTGTACTCCTGTGTTTATTACTGATGAGAAATTAAAAATAAAGCTTCAAGTATTAACATAGCAGAAAATCTTGTCCTTCAGTTCTCTTAAAAATTAAACTGTCAACTGCTTTTTCAAAGTTGTCCTTTTAGGAAACTGCAACTTTTGCAATGTGCAGTTCGAAGATGGATAACATAATTTCTTTCCTGATCAGTGTTGTTCTTTTCTATTTGACAGACATTTTATTTTAAAGTGTGGGTTTGATATAAGTGTGCCAAAAGTGCTAAAATTGAAGTGCAGAAGGCTAGGAAAGAAAATCTGTGGTTTTTATGAAATGTCAAAAACTATTTAGACTGTTTTGTTTTCACTCCATGGATTCAAGAAGCAGTGATGCAAATAAATCAGAATCTTTTTTTTCATTAAAATAAATTAAAATCTCCTAAGGAATATCACATCAGACTAGTAAGTAATTGCACATAATTGAGACTCACAAGTGAAAAAAATGGGTTTCAGGTACATATATTCAAAAAAGTCTGTAAATATTGATTGTGTGTGCTAGAAGGCAAAATTTAGCCAGTGATTTCAAAATTCATCACTGATATTCTGTTGTTTGTTCTTTTCTCAGTACCCCCAACTTCATAAATATGTTTCTGTTTAAAATGTCTTCTCAACATCTGAAAGGTTCAGTAAAACTTAGCACCTGGGAGGAGAAAAATGCACAAAGTCGTTGCAGGTTCTGTCCACACAAACAGCAGCAGACAGGAACTTAGATTGAAACTGGTGTCCCAAGTGGCACCAGGGACTAAGGGTTTCATCAAGAGCAGAGTTATTCATAGGAATAACTGAAAAATGTTGGGACAGCCCACATGACTGGAGGATTGTGATGGATGGCTGTAGGCTGTTTCAAAAAGACAGGCGGGACAAAACTGGAGGAGTCTCGCTCTTTATCAAGGGGAATTTCTGATGCATAGAAGTCAACCACAGCAACTGTGCAGCCCTACAGAATGCCCTTAAGATCAGAGAAGGCATCTTCAAGGGGAATGTTTCAGTAGGCAACTTCTACTGACCTCCAAACCAAGACAATAAGACCAACAAAGCCATATGTGGGGCACTTAAGCAA